CCCTCCCCCCTCTCATGTGCTTTCTCTCATTCTCTCTCTCAAATAAATAAATAAAATCTTAAAAAAAAAAAAAAGAAGTGTCTCAATCCTTATCAATTTCTCAATTAAATTATATCACTGATGAATGATTCAATGACTGCTCGGTGAGGGGCTCTGTGATACTAACTCAGATCTTAATATCTGCTCATCAGAAACATGAGATTAAAAAGAGAAGAAAGTATGATGATTTCTCTTTTTATTTTTTTATATGAGATTGACTTAGACCTCTGATTCCCTTTTTTTTTAAAGATTTTTAAAAATTTTATTTACTTGAGAGAGAGAAAGAGCAAGCATGAGTAGGGGGGTGGGGAGGGGTAGTGGGACAAGCAGTCTCCGCACTGAGCAGGGAGCCTGATGTGGGGCTTGATCCCAGGACCTGGAGATCATGACCCGAGCTGAAGGCAGACGCTTAACCGACTGAGCCACCCAGGTGCACCCCCCCTTAAAATATTTTATTTATGAGAGAGAGAGAGAGAGAGACTGTGCACGAGCAGGGGGAGGGGCAGAGGGAGAAGCCGACTCCTGGCTGAGCAGGGGAGAAGTGTGATAATTTCTTTTACCCTCAGTTACATTGATTCATGCCGCAAAGGAAACAACGCGTCTACAAGCGTACAAGTCTTCCCATCTAACAGAGCTTGCTGAGATTTACAGCCACACTGACATGCCATCTGATGTGTACTCCAAGTAAAGCTGGTTAATGACCTGGAGCAGGTGCAGGACTCGAAGCTTTCAAAGCTTTACTTCTTTCATCAGTAATCCTGATTTTCTAAATGATGAAGCCCATCAACCCCACTCCTACCCAAATATCCTGGTAAACCTGGGTATAGTAGGGACTCATGGGGACCCAAACATTTTTGACAAGGTTTTGGAGCATCTCAGCACAGGACCCATGGCTATGACCCACACGGCCAACAACTTGGAAAGGTCACCTTGATTTATTTATTTACTTTAAAGATCATTTATTTATTTGAGAGAGAGAGAGTGCGTGCACGCATATGTGGGGGGAGGGGTAGAGGGAGAGGGACAAGCAGACTGCTGAGCAGGGATCCTGAAGCAGAGCTAGATCCCAGATCCCAGGACCCCAAGATCATGACCTGAGCTGAAGGCAGACGCTTAACCGCTTAACCAACTGAGCCACCCAGGTGCCCCCTCACCTTGATTTATTTTTAAAGGAGGAGGGTTCCACATTTGAGGATGGTTCATCTTCCTGAATTTCTTCCATTAGAACTTCCAAACCTTTTTCTTTTGACCACTTTGAGGGCTCTATTCCTTCTCTTGTTCCTCCTTTCTCATGACATTCTTCCTTCTCTCTTCCCTCTCCCTAGTTCCAGTCCCAATAGTCTTGAGAGAACATAGTTCTTCATGCACAGGAGGCTCTGGTCTTGGCCCTTAGGTCGGCAGTGTCCTTGGATCTTTGTTTCTGCTCTGGTGGGGGCTGGAGAGGAAGAAAGGCCTTTGGTTTACCAGTAAGTTAGAAATAGGGAAGGAAAATACAGAGGAACAATCAGATTTATATTTTGGGATACAAATCTGCCACAAACGCAGATTTATAATACTGCCTTAACTAAAAGTTTGTTCTGTCTCTTCCAACCCTGCATCCTTTCTCAAAATGTGAACTCACTTTTTCTCCCTCATCAGTACCTCTGTGTTTCAACTCTCCCAAACACACCTTCTAATTGTACCTCAATGATTTCATTGACCACGTCTCTTTAAAATTACCATTTATACACTGTAGCAGTGGCATCTTGTTCTGGCTATTCTTTTCTTTCCCTTTCATTTAGCTTAGTTGATTCTAACCAAACATCTCCAAATGCATCATGCATATTTTCAATTTGTTCCCTAATTCTCTTCTCACCCACTTACAGTCTGGCTTCTCTCTGCTTCTCTTTACCAAGACAACTATTGTTTTGGTCAAATTCATGAATTGGAAAAAAATGCATGTACTTTGACACCACTGCTCACTCTCTTTCTGCGACTTCCTGTTGTGATTAGCTTTCTACATAGCACCACTTGTCTGGTGTTTGTAACTTTCTGGATTTTATTGTATTAATAACTTTGATAATTTTTCTTATGCTCCATTAATTTCTTTTAAGTTGTAACATTGATTCTATAGTCTCCTTTCTTTCCTGAAGATGATTTAAAAATTTTATTCCATTTTGTAAATCTCTAATATTGAGCCTCCTTCATTTTGGATGCTCAGAAACAAATTGCTTGGATTTAAGAACATTTTGAAAGCCTATCTATGAAATAGCAGAGTGCAATTTATATTTCTCACACTTTTTAAGATTTTATTTATCTATTTGACAGAGAGAGACACAGCGAGAGAGGGAACACAAGCAGGGGGAGTGTGGGAGGGAGAAGCAGGCTTCCCGAGGATGTGGGGTTCTATCCCAGGACCCTGGGACCATGACCTGAGCCAAAGGCAGACGCCTAATGACTGAGCCACCCAGGCGCCCCAGCAGTTGGTACATTTTTAATGAGCACAGAAAAATCTTGGAGTCCAATGACATCTTTTGAAGCCTGATCAGACAGGAGCATACTGGCCTTTAGTTAATGGTGAAGGGACAACTTTGAGTTGTATTCTTTGGTACTAAGTGTTGGTTAATTCTAATAGTAGGGATGGTTGAAAAGCCCAAGAAACAATCTTCTAGCATTGATTTTGTTACAATTGACACTATTTACAAAGTTGGAAGATTCTACAACAATAAGATCTGCCCTCCAAAGTACCTTTTCTGAAAAAGTCACCCCACCTGATTGTTGCATATTTGTTTAACTTTTCTGTTATTGTGGTTTCCAAGAAATCCATATCCATCAAGTGAGTTTAATTCTTCTGAAGATCAATAATTCACTCACCATCCAGAAAATTCAACAAGTATTGAAGGCCCATTCTGAATCACTTTGCTGGGCTGAGTGTACCGTGGTTTTCTAAAAGTTCCCGCTCTAGTTGGGGGAAAGGGGAATAAAATAAATTGAAATGCAGGGCCCTATGGAGGAAATGAACAGCGTGTGGGACGGAAGCTTTGGACACTACAGAACTAGAAGTTCAGCTCTGCAACTCAGTAGTTCTGAATTGAACCGGTCATTTCAGAATGAGCAAGGTGAGAATGTGTTGTGGAACGATGCACTCTAGGAAGGTTCCAGCTCCTGGCAAAGGGTCACATCACGTTAGGTGTGTGAAGGCAGAACAGGGTTACAGTGACCACAGTAGCTTAGAAGAGGGGTGTCATCTAGCTCTTCTGAGCACAAGAGAAGTAGGAAGGGATCCTTCCGGACCTTGGGGATGGCATCAGCGCCCTAGGCGCAGCGTACACCAGCAAAGGCAGGAAACCCTCGGGACTGGGCCCTCGGCTGGTAGTCCAGCCGGGTCGCGCCAGCGGGGAGAGCTTTCCGGCAGCCGCGCGCCACGTCAGCTAACAGCTCCTCCTCCCCTCGTTCCAAGTCGCACGCGCGGAAGTAAACACCTCGACGTCATCAGGGCGCGTCTTTGTCTTTCTCCTCGCATCTCTCCAGATCGGTGGACGTGCTCACCTCCGCTCCGGGCCAGGTCTATGTCCCGGTTTCCCGCCGTCGCGGGCAGGGCGCCAAGGCGGCAGGAGGAGGGTGAGCGGTCAGTAGACCTTCAGGAAGACCGGCCTTCGGCTCTTTCCATCGCTGATAAAGGTGCGGTCCGCGGGACGCTGCGGAGGCTCCAGCGGGAGTTTCGGCATGGGGGTTTTGGGGTGATAAAAGTCCGCTTTTGGCGGGCAGAGAAAAGTGGAGAGGAGACCGCAGCGTTCTCCTTGCCCTCCAAGCCGGAGGCGAACTTTGCGTCCAATGAGCACTTTGGTGTAGAGGGGAGCGGTCCCAGATCCAAGTTGGATGAAAACCTTGCTTGGGGGACAAAAAAGTGAACCCCAACACCTAGGCGCGTTCTCCTCTTAAAGAGGCTCATAAAGCCTTTGTTCTCTACCCATCCATTCCCCCCCGCCCCCCCAACTCGTCGGGCCGCCAGCCTGCCTTTGGGTATGGCATGAAGGGAGCCAGTTTCCAGGAGCCAGTTTCCATGGTTACCCACCACTTGGCCTTCTGGGATATCAGTCACTCTGAACAGGGACCTAACTTGAACCATGAATCAGAAGCAAACACAGGTGGCTTTTTTTTTTTTTTTAAATTCAGCTGAGAGTTTCCCGCTGTGTTCTAGCTTTTGGTCTATTGTTTAATAAAATTGGGTTTTGCGCTTCTATATAGGTATGCTTGCATATACATTGCCTTGTGCTAGGCTTACATTGTCAAGTACTCTGAGTCATGCATTAGCAAATGCTCATGTTGTTAGATTTTACTAAAAAGTTGTTCTGGGCTTGTAAACCCTCACATACAAATTGGACATAGATGATTTACCTGAGAAGTCATGGATTGATCCTTTCCAGCCCTAAAATTATATTGTCTTTCTCTATTCAGTTCTGGGAAATTGAGTCAAAGATATCTTTACAGTCCTTTTAATTGCACAATTGTTTTTCTGTTATTACAGAAGAGAAAGGATGCACATCACAGGAGGGAGGAACTACTCCAACTTTTCCTATTCAAAAACAAAGAAAAAAGCTTATTCAAGCTGTGAGGGACAATTCATTCCTTATTGTTACTGGAAATACAGGAAGTGGTAAAACAACTCAACTACCAAAATATCTGTATGAAGCAGGTAATTTTATTCTGGGATAATATTGGGAGTATTTAAAAATATATCCTCTTAAAAGCTAATAGGACTTCTGCATTGCACAAATACCCACCATTTGTTCTACAGTCCCAATTCTTCTCTTGGCACATCCTCCCTACATCTTCCCTGCTTTTTTATGGTCTTATTTCATATTCAGGAATTCATATGATTTTTCCATTTTTAATTACTGTAATAATCTCAGTTATAGGTAGATACTGATTCTCTGTTATAGAATGAGGTTGATTTGCAGTATACTCTTAACTGGTATTGAAATAATTTACAGGAATATAGTGATATCTGTTGCTTACGTTAGTATTTCTTGGTTCTTTTTCCAGAGTATTATCAGGTAAGTATTTATTCCCTGACTCCATAACCCAAGCCAGCTAACAAATTACCCTTAAAGTGTCTTTTCCTTCGATATGGTAAAACTTACTATCATAAGGTTGGTATAGAGCAAAATTATACTGGATGTTATTCATATAAAAAATAAACATTTCTTAGCTGATATTAACTTATTCTAATCCATCAAATCTAATGTGCCATTTATTAAGACATTTACCACTGTTTTACATACTATTAATAAAGAAAAAAATACCATTAACTGTAAGACACATCTTTCTTTCAGAGATACTAAAATGGTAAAAAATGAATCTATGAAAGGTGGTATATTTAAACTTTTGTGGCAAAAGTAAATCTTTAGGAAGTCTGAAATTTTATGGGTTCCTAGGACTTAAGCATTTTTGGCTTACTCTTTTTTTTTTTTTTTAAAGATTTTATTTATTTATTTGAGAGAGAGAGAATGAGAGACAGCATGAGAGGGAGGAGGGTCAGAGGGCGAAACAGACTCCCTGCCGAGCAGGGAGCCCGATGCGGGACTCGATCCCAGGACTCCAGGATCATGACCTGAGCCGAAGGCAGTCGCTTAACCAACTGAGCCACCCAAGCGCCCCTTGGCTTACTCTTTAAAGTAAATCTTGACTGAAATTGGGGGGGGGAACCTAATAAAATATGTATTTTAATGGAAAATATGTATTCTTATTTTTTATTACTACTTAAATTTCCGTGGTGCATTTGTAAAACAGTATGTTGTTAATTTGCAGTTTTCTTTTGGAAACACTTGGAACAGTTTGTGTTGATTGGTTTGAAACAATTTAGCCCTAATTGGAAACAATTGTTAACAATTTTTTTTTTTTTTTTTTTACCTCTGGTTTTGATAGGGTTTTCACAACATGGTATGATTGGTGTGACTCAGCCACGAAAAGTAGCTGCTATATCCGTTGCTCAGAGGGTTGCTGAAGAAATGAAATGCACTTTGGGATCCAGAGTAGGGTACCAAGTTCGTTTCGATGATTGCAGCTCTAAGGTACAAAAGTTTTATTGTGGTTTAAGTCCTATAGACTTATAGAAGGATTGGAGAAAGTTATGAAAGATTTTAACTTCAAATTTGCGTTTATATTTTAAAGAAACAAAGCCCAAGATTAGAATTAATTTTTGTTGTCCTTTGTTAAATGATTTAGCCCTGAAGTGCCTATTAGTTTTACTATTTTCTCCCTTCTCAATTAGTTTATAAGTGACAGTTATGTTTATTTTTTTAAGGATTCTCTTATTTTATGGTTTTTTAGCTGTAAGAATCCTGGACCTGTACCTTACACTTGTAATCTTTGAAACAATTTTTTATTGTACTAAAATATATATAACGCAAAATTTACTATTACCATTTTTAGGTGTTACATGTCATTGGTATGAAATACATTTACAGTGTTGTGTATCCATCAACACTATTTTCAGAATGTTTTCATCATCTCAAACAGAAACTATATCTACTAAACATTAACTCTCCTATTCCCTCCTCCATCCAGTCTGTGGTAACTTCTATTCTACTTTCTGTCTTTACAAATTTGCCTTTTCTAAGTACCTCATATAAGTTGAATCATACAATATTTGGTCCTTTGTGTCTGGATTGTTTCATTTAGCATAATGTTTTCAAGATTCATCCATAGGGTGTATTTGTATTCCTGAAGTCAACTTAGCAAAGTCAGTAAGCATATCTTCTGTATTCACGGCACCAAGTTTAAAATTGTTTTCTTTTTAGTAGTTAATGGTTATAATTTACATTCCTTCAGGATTTTTTAATCCTGTACCAAATACAAAACAATCCCTAATTAAATATGGTCCCTAATAGGAATGGCCATCAATTATGACACACAGTGACTCCCCAAAATACTATCTTTGCATTCCTAGTGGTTACTGCTGGGGAGTTTTCTTTCTTTTTTCTTCCCTTGTTCTATGTGTATACTGTTGTTAACTTCTAGCTTTTAGACCTTATTCTCACCTTGTTTTAATGCTAGGTGACAGACACAATTTTT